GCGATTTTGAAGAACAATTGATGCTATCGTGCGCAGTGGTTTTAAGAGAGAGGGACGATTTTGAAGAACAATTGATGCTATCGTGCGCTGGATGTTTAACTTGGCGAGCCGTGAGACGAGTCGGTGGCGTCCAAGGCGAATCTTCTTTTGGAGTCTTACTTGGGGACTTGGGTAAATAATACTAGTAATAGTCTACGAAATTGATTTAAATTAAAAAGGCAAGAAAAGAATTGTGTTATTTTTTTTATTATAAAAAGTAAATTGATACAATTTTGTGATTTTAAATCCTTTAATTTGTACATTTCTCTTGATGATTTTTCCTCTCGTGGAAAAATAATTTTTTAACCAAGTCAAGCAACCAAAAACCCCTACAGAAAATTGATTGACAAAAAAAAAACAGAAATATTTCACATATTGCTAGTATTTTATTTGTTAAGTTTCCATAATCTATAGCCTTGCCCATCAATCCAAATTTTTCTTCAGTTTAAATGAAACCCAAAGTTAGTTTCTGTTTTAATTTGGCATACCAATCCAAATTTGGTAGATAACATGGCATGTCGATTCGGATTTGTACTCTCATAATTTATCTCAATTCCATACTTGCATTGAGATAACTTTTGTTAAAAAAAAAAAAAAGACTAATACACATAATATACCAGAAAAGAGTTGATTATATATAACCTTGAAAAAAACTAAATAGTTGTATAAATGAACATGTTAAAACAGTGAATATTCTATATCCTGAATCTAAAATCCAAAGTAATTGAGTTAAAAAAATAAAATAAATCCAAAGTAATAAATCAAATGGTAATATCAACTATTGGTGGTATTTACATAGAGAAGAGAGAACGAATAAAGTTAGAAAGTAAAAGAACGAATAAAGTTAGAAAGTAAAAGAACGAACCAGAGGGTGAGAAGAGAAGAAGATGATTCAAGGAGACATGGACATTATTGTGTCATCGTTCAAAAGAGAGTCAATATCAAATAAGTCGTCTTCTTCATAGTTGACTAGTTCCTCTCTGTTGTTTAAACTTGATGAAGCCTGCACAACAATTTTTAACAAGAATGTTCAACAAAATATGATACTTTTGATGAGATTGCATAAACACTTATGTTAATGGTCGCAGGTACCTCGTTTTCACGGAAGCCCTCAACAACGGTTAGGAGTCTTCGGTATTGATCTCGTGCTTCTGGGTATTGAACCATCGATTTGACCCGAGTGAGAGCTTTTTGAAGCCTTTCCTCTGTCTGTTTTCTTCCTTTTTCTAGAAAATCATACTCATCTTCCTGTGGAATGGTAGGGGATAGTACTGATACAGGCGGTTCGGGTTCCACGGTTTTGGCGATTGCACTGCGTTTAAACCCTCTTAAACCACTACCTTTGCGTCTCCAACGCAAAATGATTTTCTCGAGTAATCCCACAGACCAAACGATTGGTCGGTATTGTTTCCGGACCTGATGTCCTCTCACATGAGCCTAAAAGGTAAGAGCATAAAGATTTCAAGCAATGCGAAATTAGACAAAGATTTAAGGAAAGAAAAAATAAACGGCGGAATGAAAGGCAAACCTGAATCTTAACGACTCTTTGTCGGATCAAAAGAAACTCTTTTCTCTTCTTCCAACCCCGATATTTCTTCTGGATATGCACTGCAGCGGAATGAACAGAGACTTCACTGTGTCCTTGATTCTTAGTGTTTGCAGCAGCTGCAAAGGATATAGCTATATCGTCGGAGATATCAATCCCTTCATCATGCCCAAATCCAGACAGCTGTTTCCGCTGGAATGATTGCATCCTGAATACTTGATGAAGACGATCAGCTGCCTGTGTAGCATTACGGACAGCGGTAAGTGAATCCTTCAAGGAAAATGTTTCTGGTACATCGCCATAGCTCATAGGAGCAGCGGTTCGCTCAGAGACTGTTTGAACAGCTTTTGGTCCAGCAGAGTTTGCAGAGCTGTTTTCCTTCAAGTCCACTGTTAGCTTTTCAAGATAACTAGTTAAGGAAGACTCTGCAAGAAAACCCGAAATACCCCTGTGTCCATTTACGTAGGCCAAATCAGCAGCTGTTTTACCCAAAGGAAGCTCTAGAGATGGATCTGTCAACGCTCCAGCATCAGCACCTAGAGAGACAAGCACAGCGACAGTTTCCTCCCTGAAATGAACAGGCAACATAGTTAGTTTGATTATGAAAATGTGGACCAACTAATAGAGTTCAAGATACATCAATTTGACCATCTTATGAGAAATGCAAAATCTCAAATCATAAATACAAAAAAATGAAGGAAGGTAAGATAGAGAGATCTTTTACCTGCCACTAAACGCAGCCCAATGAAGGGCGGACCATCCTTTTGCATCACGGAAGTTAATGTTAACTCCTGCTGCTAAAATCGGTTTAATAGCCCAATCATATCCAAGCGCTGCAACAAAGTGTAAAACACCCTGTCCATCTTCATCCAGTATGTTTGGCCCCTTACCCTCTTCAGTCACTTTATGGATGAGCCATACATATAGTTGCTCTTCAAACTGTTCCCTAAAAAGCCGTACTTTTGGTTGTTGTTTGGTTGAATCTCTCTCAAACGTCCCTGGAAGAAGATACTCTTTTTCCTCCTTTAGCAACATGATATTACTGATTTTCCTTCGTTTTTCCCCAACATCGTTAAATACATGGTGTTCGTGAACAAAAGCTCCATGAGCAAGCAGCTTCTCTAACCGCAGCTGAAGTGATGCTTCGTTTGTATAGGTACCATAAATATCAACAGCATTGATTTTTTTGGTAGAACCAGAAAGAAAATCAAATTCTCGTAATTCACTGCAAGCAAATCTGTTGGAACACGTCACATAAAAGGGCACTAAACCAGCTGTATGCGGTGGAGCATGGCAGCAAAGGACACCGTCTACAAGAATCTCAGCAGGAACCTCCACTTCACCAAACATGCATGACCAGTTATACTTGGTAACTTCTTGTGGGCTAAGCAGAAATGTCCCAATAACCATAACCTGCAGATAAAGTGATCCATGTAAAAGAAATTATTCCCTATAAACAGAATGAACAAAAGGATCTGAAAACAGAGAGCTAAAAGGGATTAACAAAAGGAAAAAGCATTACTAATAAAAAGACGGAAACCAAACATTTTTCCAAATACAAACAGTGAAGTTACCTCAACTTCTGCATCGGTATGTGCGCATTTTGGCCAAAAATCAACTATGGTGAAACGCTGATCCTCGGAGAGAGAAGGGCTCAGGGAGGGTCCACCTCCTGCAGTTTCACAATCAACAGTGGTCCATGCAATATCTCCACGCGAAGACTGCATCTGTAAATCCTCCATCTCGCCAAGTTCTTTACTAGCCCACCGAGAAAAACTGTCGACCTTCTTCAAACTATCTTCGTGTCTTAACAATGATTTCTTTACAGGTATATATTCAGATTCCATACTTGTTGGAGCTTGAAAATTATTCCCAACAAGTTGCTGATTTTCACTGCCAAGGAGACTGGAAAATGTCTGAAAATTATCTTGTGCACTTTGCTCAAATGATGCCAGACCAGTGTCATCAGTCATTCCAGAATGTGAAACCAGATCCAGGGGACATTTTGGCAATGATAGGTCATCCTGAGCTAGAATCTACAGAGACGAAGATCTCGAAATCAGAATACTTCATGACAGTATCCATGCGAGCTTAAATAAATACTTTTATAATCTATTAGCGAGAGGGAGCCATATAACAAACACAGGTATCAGATGTCTTTCATCATCCTATCTAAAGTCGGGTAAATATTGATTCAGGCATAGAATGCATTTTTTCAGAATAGGTAACGACATATAACTTTATCTTCAACGACTTACCTTTACAATGTGTCAATGACAGAAGTATTAACCCTGAGAAAATTGCTAATAAAAACATGTAAAACATACATACAGTTGTTATCGCTCCTAAGTTTGATGTGCTATTACATCATATATATTCCTCACAGTACATCTCCTTTTATACATTTTTAACATCTATGGACACTTTTTGTATACTCTCACTAATATAATATACATGTATAGCTAACGAATGAATAATTATAACAAGCATGGGTGCACTACCTGCCAATTTAATTGGGGTTGAAGGGGGTTTCTGAGATGCTCAGTCGCTAACAGCCCACCTCTGTCTGTATCTTCTTCCACCAGCATTGATTCAGTATTAGAAGGCTGCACCTGAGTCAACAAATTACTGTAAGGTTGATCATGGTATCTTGTCACTGAATTCCCAACAGTATCCCAAGCTCGAACATCAACTAATCTCTGGGAATCACTTTCTCTAATTCTGTTCCCAAGAGCCTGCGAATCATTACGCATGCCAGGAGCTGGTGTCCAACCATCGCGATTTCCTACACAGGAAAACAAAGACACTCTTAACAAAAAAGCAGACTGTAAACCAGACAGAGAGACAAGTATCCAAAACAGAGCTTAAATTGAAAGACTTTAACATGCTAGCATCCTGCTATTCCCTTAACTGAGGATTACCAGTTTGAAATATAGGAGATGCTCGCAAGACGGAACTTGCTTGATGACTATCCCCTGCGCCAAAACTGATATAAGGTGGTGTTGAAAATTACACGCACAACCAAGAGCGTGTGATGTTTACAGATGTAAATCATCACTACTCGCAAATTAAATATGAATATCGAGGATTCTTCCATGGAAAGAACTATAAGAACTATACCTTTGACCCAAAGATGCCAAACATACAAAATATAGAAAAAAAAAATACCAGAATCAGCATCTTCACATAATGATGACAATGTGCTGGTTGGGCTGGCTGATGAATCAATATTCACTGAAGCTGTGCCATTTACGGAACTTGAATTGTTTTCTTTCATTCCTATACTTGTCCGGTTACCCTATATAATTTACAATATAAGATGAACTTAAGAAGACTGATCAGTAGAGAACTACATTACAAAAGTAAAATATAATGTTAAATGATGGAGATTTGTTAACAGCAGAGACAGCAAGAGCTATACATACCTTAACCTCCAAGTAGTGTACAAAAACAATATGCATCAAATCTCTGTAACAATACAGCATAAAACAGAGTATATAAGCACAAAACTGAAGATACACTAGGAGAATATAATATCAAGAAGCAAAGTCAACTTTCATGAGTGAATTTTAAAGATTGCATGAAGACAGTGACCCAGTTGGTATTTTGATGTTCCACTCTTAACCCATGAAGGTCTCTCAGAGATCCAAAGGAAAACAAAGACAAAGTAGCGCCTCTACCATGAGATACACTGCCCTATCCTCATCTAAAACCCAGTGAGTGAGGTTTCTCTATAACAGCACCTTGAAAATTATTATCCTAAACATTCCCTTTTCTCTACAGAAGGTTCGTTATACCCAACTGAATAAGGAAAACTGATATATGGACAAACTCAGACTCACTGTTCAAGCATCCAGTAACATCGTCTCTGGAAATTCTCGTTGCCTTCTCCATGAGCATAGTAACAATGTAGCACATCAATGCTTCCTACCTACATACACTCGAACAATGTTAAACTCAACAATTTAGATACATTGCACTATCAACTAATTTATTCTAAAACCGGGAGTAGAACCAAGTACCAGGTTCCATGATGATGCAACACTGAACTATTAATGAGAAATCAAAACTCTAACCTTCAGCTTCTCATGAGCTTCTCTTATTGTTTTCCCATCCTTCTTCTTCCTCCAGTTGTGTCCATCTTTCCTAAAATATCTCAGCACCTTCCTATCAAAAAGAAAGAGTGAACCACCTATAAGGGTGGGGAGAAGATGTCAGTTTACATTGAAAAAATATTTGAAAGTTGTAGATTGTTGTCACTACTATGCATGAAATTCATCCTAATCCTAGTATTTATCAATAATGGTAGACAAAGTGACTATTTTGTTATCCCGACCATCGACTATTCGTGAACCCAAGATATACTGCAACCAAAAACGCAGGCCACAAACGTACTGGCGGGTCGGTTGGGAGACTCTGATGCAATATGAAACTTCTGATAGTTCTGAAGAATTTCACAAATCTCAGCAGGCCTAAGCCACCTATGTTGAGCTTCTGACAGCAACTGCTCCATATCTGCGAATTCATAGAGGTAAAAAAACATATCTGAGTATTTATCCCAAATTACGACAACCACTAACACTATTAAGCTACCACTAACAAAATATGAACATTCCCAAACGCAACAGAGCAATCCAGTAATAACGCAGAAATTTCAATTTTCAATTTAAAACTGAGCAAACTACTTCACTTCCTCGCAATTTCAGATCAAGCACACAAAAAAAAGAAAAAAAAATCGACACCAGTAAGAAAGTGGGGTGAGCCAAGCTATTCTCTAATGAAAGGGACACGGGCTAGATTCCTTCGCCTACCAAATGTGGAACCCAGAAACACAAAAGATGGTAACATAAACCTAATCGACGCAACAAAAGGAACCAAATACTGGAGAAGGAGATAGAAAAACATAAAGAGACCTAATTGAGGACAAATAAATCCAAAAGATCCACGATCCGCCATAGAAACAATAAACCCCAAAACTCAACCAAGAGATCTCTTTTAGCTTTCTCCGAAATCCTAAAGAAGGGAATCAAACGAACCCTAAACTAACCGATCTGAGTATGCATGAACTGAGAAAGCTTGTTTCCTTCGTTTCCAGGTGTGAAAGCGAAAGAGTTTTTTTTCTTCTTCCTCCGATTTTTTTTTCTTCTTATTATCTTATTGGAGCGAGACCCAAGATTATAAAATATACAAAGTATAAACAGTGACTTATATCACTTCTCCAATAGGAATATGACACGTATGCAAATTAGATTTGTCCTCTCCATCAGTCAGTCCTTGTTTGTTATTATTACTAAATCTTTTTTTTTTTTTTTCAAAGTTACAATTAAATATCTTTTTCCCTCTTCTTCTGACTTGCGGCGGCTGATCCGACGGTGCAGATCCAAAGTCAAGATCTAAGTCCTGGTGCGACCGTAGACGATGACGCCATATAAAATCATCATCATTGTAACATATTACATCATCGTATATATATTTCTAATTTTCCATGAAAATGCAGTCGAAGAAGACTTGTATTTCTAATTTTCCATGACACAAAATACCGATATGAGATTCCTATACTAGATGGCTCTATAAATTTGAGTAGTCAAATACTCAGATTCTTCACAACAGTGCAAAAACATCGATGCAGCTTACAAATTTTAAATTTTATGGACAAAAGAAGCAGCAGCAGCTATGTTTAAGGGAAGAAAAGAAGAAGCTTAGACCATGTATGTCATACCGACCTGCATCAAATGCGACTGAGGCACACTTAAGTTCGCGATTCCTCTTCTGCAGTTTTTCCTCAAGAATGCGTAAAAGTAATTTATGACTAGCTTCTTGATGAACCATGAATCTTTTCTTGCTCTTATATCGCCGTGCCCAAGTAGATACACGACACCTGATTCTTTCGCTTTGTGTATGAACGATAACTCTCTCTCCAGGCTTTGCTCGGCTTCAGATATAGAGGAGTCAGACGATGCGTCAAAGGGATTGTGGTTTGCGTGATCAGACGAGATGTTCATTTCCAAGATCGGTTTGTTCAAGTCTCTGTACTCGGAGAGAAGAGGAACGCCCATCGAGTACATGCTTCCATTGGGGCCAATAACAACTCTAGAACCTGGGAAATCTTCCTCTGAGTCTGAATCATCGTTCCCGTCGCTCTCCAAGGAACGTTCTTGAGCTTCTCTTCGGATGAACTTCTCGAGGCTCTCGATCAGTAGCTGCTCAAATGCTTGGTGGTTCTCTTTCCTTGCATCCTTATAACCATACCTTCACCACACAAAAAGCAAACAGTGTTTATATTTGGCTCTTCAGCACAACAAAATGGAACGGAATAAAAGAGGAAAATAATATGTTCCTGTGGGCCAAATTGGAATCAACAGAGCTCTTAAGACCTTGTGCTATATGTTATTCTATAAGAGTGAAGAAAAATATCTACAGACTTGAGTATGAATCTCTACGCACGAAAATTTGAGCAGTGAAAGGGAAAGAAAAAGACCGACCTGGCAATGCAACGGAATAAGTGATAGCTTTTGGTGCAGACGCGTCTGAAGAGGAACCTCTCATTCTGGGGTACAAGTGGAACCGGAACATATTTTATACAAACAAAAATGACCATGGAATGGATTGCAGGAAGTGTTGTCAGAAAATGGCCAAATATTGCTGGTACTCCCTTCACTAATTCATTGTACAGCAAACCGATACCAGGAGCTCTTATTGTTCCCAGGTTGCACCCAAGTTCTCTCATCAAATCCATTGACAACTTTTGTTCAACTTCTGTTTCATACCGGAGCTTACTTCCATAGTTCCAAACATACATTATACCAAACATGATTACGGCAAAAACCAATATTATCCAGCTGCCATCCCCGACACTCGCTATAACTGACGAGAAAAAGACTAATTCCACTCCGAGGAAAACTATCAGAAAGGCAATGACGATTACGATATTGATCTGCCATATAAGAAGCATGATTAAGGTCACCAGAATTGTCGTTGTCATCATCACTCCAAGCTCAGCCATCCCTGTG